AGTCATTAAGAACCACAAGCTAAGCTGCAAACTCTCCCAATCTGAAGGAAAATCCACTGCAGAGGATTTGGGCTGTCATATTTCTCCGAAGGTGGCGTTGTCGTCAAAGGGACCTCTGGCGGCAAATGGCAGTGAAACGCATCTACTGCAGCCCCCACGCCATCTTCCTTCTGTATACACGTGGCTATTTCCATCGCTCGAGATTTTACCTATAACATTATTTCAACGTTCGAATAAAAAAAACAAATCAGGATTGATATAAGTTATTTTGAGTTTGATTGGATTTATTCGATAAAGTGAGTTAATCCTGAAGAAAAAAAAAAAAAAGGTTGATTAAATTTGATTTGCGCGGAATTTTGAGTTTGCGATTAAATCATTTTTGAAATGTATTAAGTAAATTTAATGTGATGTAAAAGTATGAGAGTATGAGAGAGGTGATTGAAATTGGTAGTGAAAATTATGTGATCGAATGGATAGTAAATTAAGTTGATGTGATGTGTGAAAATGATTGATAAATATTATTCAATTATATCGATAATATTGAGGAAAATTGGGCAGGGTTAAGTTTTAGATGAATTTTGAGTTAAAAAAAATAATAATAATAATAATCTGATCGGTCAGTCATAACTGGATATTTTATATCCAATCAAGCCCCCTCAGCTTCTGAAGAAGAGGAAGAAAACCCATATTCGGTTTAAATTCAATATAAATCTAAATTAGATTAGATACAGCACAGTTTTTTTTTCAAGTGTTTCGAATGCAAAAATTCGAGTATCGACAAGTACCTCAGGCTGGAGCATGAATGTTATAGCTTCAGAAAGGGAATCGACGCTAAGTTGCGATATGGGAATCGGGGCGGGTCCCAGCCCTTTCTGATGTATTCTCTCTCCCCAAAAAAACTGATCCCCGAAAAACGGCACAATGGTTGTTGGGCACTGCATTTTATACAAGTTGTAACCAATTGCAAGGAAAAGAAATGAAATTTAGTGTTCACTTGGAGGATTAAAGGACAAAAACTGTTGGGAAAATGTCTATGAATATTACCCCGGCTTTTAGTCCAGTTGCTGTGGTTCCAGCTCCACCGTGATGAACCTTCGTGATTAACAGTTTTTCAATACAAATATTTATGTTTCGAGATAATATG